AACGCGATGATTTACTGCTCGACGATGGATATTCCGGCTGTGCAACAACTGGCAGTAACAGGTGTGCCGGATGGTTTCCTGATACGCCTGATAAGCCTTGAAACGCATGCTGTCATCTATTTCCCGACAGTTTCGGATCGTCAGTTCGGTGCCACCGTATTTTATTTGTACGGCTCTGTACAGGCCATTATGCAGGCAAGAAAGTATATTCAGGTACTGTTTTATTTTCATATCTACAAATAAATGCTATTTCAGGCTTCTGTTCCCTTGTTTTGTCGATGAAACTAACAATTTTTCCATTTTCTTGTCTTACTGAGCTTATTTTCACACAGATGTCTTTTTTTCTCTTTTTCCATCTTTTCCTATTATAACTTTCTATTACTCGTTACAGTCTAACCGTTGGTTAATTCATAATCTGGTTATCCAGCAATTTTTCCATTTCTGTAGTTGCTTTGACCAATGGCACTTCACACGACAGCCAGCCTGGTGAATTCGAAAAGAAAACAGTTTTTAAAGTTAAAATATTTGCAAACAGAATTGTTCATTCGTGATTCTTCATAATTAATTAGGCTACTGGCGCGCTTTAAGCTTTTTTGCAGCAAAATTTAAAAAACAGGGGTGGTGGAAAGAGTCAGGTCACTACTGGTTTGTTCTCTGTCCACTTTTGCAATAAAATGCATATAGCTACTTTGGTTTGAAAATAGTGGGACTGGTGGTTTTGCGAATGCCCTGGCTTTCCTCTTAGATCACTTAGAATGCAGCTTCCACACAGCTAAAGTTTACAATTCTGCTTAGACCTGATAACTTAGTATTTTAAATAAAATCAGTGGATTGCTTGGAAGAGAGAAGGTGTTAAGCTTCGCGCATCATTTTTTTAATGTTAAGTTTAGCCGTATTTCAATTCCAAGCTATAGGATATAATATTTGATCGACTCTTGTGAAATTTTAGTTTTTCGAATAAAAAATTTAAATATTTCAGGGTCTTTTACCGGTGCAACTGACATTCCATGTCGAGAACGACGATTTGCTGAATCCGGTGGATGCGTCAAGTCGTGAGGTATTCCTCAGAGATGCGGAACGTAATTTGACTATAATGATAAAAAAGAGCAACCTTGAAGGCCAAAAATTAGCCGACAGTGACACA